GGGTGCTGCAGGCAGGGGTGCACAGAGCCCTGCCTTCGCCGTCCCAGCACAGGCGGGTTCCCCTGCACTGGGGGTTGGTTTTGGGGTCACCTCCCCACCTGACCTCCGGGTCACCCATCACCATGGGAGCAGCACTGTGTCCCAATGTGTCTGTGGGGACAAGCTGCCGCAAGCAGCGGCAAACCCAGGCACAGCAGCCTTGCCGGGGCCACGGTGGGGAAGGGGAGCGCGGCTCTGCCAGCACAGGAGATGCACCAGGTCTCCACCGGGGACCCCCACAGCCGCAGCACCCTCCCAGCATGGGGGTGACACCTGTCCCCATCCTGCAGGTGGTCCCTGCCACCACCCCATGTTCCGCTCGCGCCGTGCTGGACTGGTGAGGCGGCTGTGGCGGCAGCGCTGTGCAGCAGCCAGCCCCGAGGACAGCCCCGGAGCCCTCAAACCGGCAGCGCACGCCCTCTTCAAGAAGCTTAAGGACGAGGAGCTGGAGCTGCTGGTGCAGGCAGTGGAGAGCCGGGGCGCCTGGGAGTCCGGCTGCGTCTGGGCACCGCGGGGGGAGCTGCGGGGGGCCAAGCAGGCGCTGCCCCCCCAGGTCCTGCTCTGCCGTCTCTACCGCTGGCCTGACCTCCGCCAGCCCCACGAGCTCAAGCATCTCTGCTACTGCACCAGGGGCCGGGGGAGCTGCGGGGACACAGCTGCACTCTGCTGCAACCCCCACCACTTCAGCCGCCTGGCTGCACCTGGTGAGTGCCGGCGGCTCCACCAGAGCCCCTCATCGCCCACCCACTCTCTGACCTCTGGTGTCTGGGGCCGGCTCAGGACTCCGGGGGGGGCAGGATGCACGTCCCACCCCTCACCCCCTTCTCTCCACACCTAGAGACCCCTCCACCCCCCTACTCGAAGGCATCCTGCGGTCCCTCCTGGCCAGACGAGCCCCAGCACCCCGGCACCCAGTTCATGGAGTTCAGCTACAACGGTGGGGACTGGCGTGGTAAGAGGGTCCCACCATGCTGGGGGCTGCTCAAACCCTCACCCTTGCCCAGCAGGCAGGGGGGGCATCAGGCAGGACTGACTCCCTCCAGGCAGCTCTGCCCCCACCCCGCTGCTGGTCAGGGCAGAGGTGCAGGACACAGAGCCTGAAAATTGGGGAGCAGAGCTGACAGCCACTCCCAGCGGGAGGAAAGGCTCCGGCACGGGACAACAGGTTCCTGCCGGGGGACCAGCCCGGTCCTGGCCCCCCCACTGCGGCTCCTGTTATTTTTGGTGGCGCCAGGCTCCCCGCCGGAGGAAGCACTGCCCACGGGGACACACACAATGTGCCTTGACGCACACAGCCGCGGCTCCAGCCTGGCTGCTGGCCACCAGGCCGCTGGCTGCTGGGGCTCCACCTTCCCTACACCTGGGGACCCCCCTCACCATTGTCCCCAGGGACAGTGGCTGGGGACGGTCTGGCCCTATGTGCCAGCACGCAGCAGCTCTGGTGACTCGTGCCCCATGCTGGAGCCTGTGCTGGGACATCCCTGGGGCACCGCGTCCATCTGTCTGTCCACTCTGTGGGCCCCTGCATGAACCAGGGGACATGGACCCCCCCATGTCCTGCTCCCTCCCCATCGTCTCTCCCTTTGGCCCCTCCGGCTGCGTGGCTTGGCCATGCCTGTGCAGCAGTAGGTGGGTCTGCCTGGCGGTGACGGCTCTGTTCTCCCCCGCCAGACACCAGCCTCTCACAGACCACCGTTAAGGACGGCTACTGGTGCAAACTGGCTTACTGGGAGCACCGGACACGTGTGGGCCGCCTCTACGCCGTGCATGAGGCGTCGGTGAACATCTTCTGCGAGCTGCCACGGGGCAGCGGGTTCTGCCTGGGCCAGCTGCCAGCCGCCCACTGCAGCCGTGCCGTCCGGCGGGCACGCGGCAAGATCGGCCGGGGGCTGCTGCTGAGCCGGGAGCCGGGTGGCGTGTGGGCTTACAACCGCAGTGAGCACCCCATCTTCGTCAGCTCGCCCACCCTGGGGCCCCCCAGTGCCCGCGGGCTCACCGTCCTCAAGGTGCTGCCTGGCTACTCAGCGAAGGTGTTTGACTACGAGCGGGCGGGGGGTGTGGGGAGCTGGCGGCTCCCCGGGGAGGGCCCCTGCGACCCCCACAGTGTCCGCATCAGCTTTGCCAAGGGCTGGGGGCCCTGCTACTCCCGGCAGTTCATCACCTCCTGCCCGTGCTGGCTGGAGGTCCTGCTGAACCGGCCAGGCTGAGGGGCTGGGGCTGGCGGGGGCGGTGTGCCAGGGACCCCCCCTCAAGTGGGTGCAAGGGGGGCACAAGCTGGGGGGGCCCCTCTGCCACCCCCCAGCCTCTCTCTTCCAGGGCTGCACTGCAGTGGGAGGGGGGGCCATCCTGGCACCCTCTGCCCCATCCCCAGGAGGGGTCCAGTGTCCCCCATGCCTGGTTCACCACCCTGCCGGCACCCACTGTCCCCAGCCATGGGTCTCTTGCTGATGCAGGACACTATTTAATCTCTTTCTCTCTTTTATTTTTATGGTTAAATTTATTTTAATTTATCTTATTTTTGTAAAAAAAAGTGCAATGCAGGAGGCCCCCCGGCACTGTAGGCAGCCGGGGCCAGGTCTGGGGAGGGCAGCCAGGGCAGGGTGTGCAGGAGCCAGGCAGGGCCAGGGGAGGCCGGGGGCTGCAGGAGGGGAGGGACGTGGGGCAGACCCCCAGAGTGGGGGCGGGGAGGGGCGCTGGGGGGCTGGGGGGCATGGCAGGCATGGGGGGAACTGGAGTGAGCTGGCACAGCTGGGGATGTGGAGCCAGTGAGCACAGCTGGAATATGGGGCAGGTGAGCACAGCTGGAGTGTGGGGCAGGTTAGAACAGCTGGACAAGTGAGGGGCAGGTGCTGGGGCAGGTGAGCACAGCTGGACAAGTGAGGGGCAGGTGCTGGGGCAGGTGAGCACAGCTGGGGGTGTGTGAGGCAGATCAGCACAGCTGGAGTGAGTGTGAGGCAGGTGAGCACAGCTGGATGGGTGTGGGGTGGGTGCTGGGGCAGGCGAGCACCAGAGGTGTCGAGCAGGAGCTGAGCTCGTGGCCGGCCCCAGACAGGCGCTGGCGCCGGTGCAGGGTCTCCCGCGGCGGGTCCCCCGGCTGGTGGGTCCCCGGGCCCCTCCA